TATATAATATTAAACTTATTCACGTTTTCCTTTTTTGTTTGAACTCTCGCTGTTCAGTAACCTAGAAGTTTTTCCATACCCTTGCATTTCGATTCAGTTTTCAATTCAAGCAGAAAATGAATATGTATTGAATAGCAGACGGTGCTTATTGGTTATGCATAATGCATATCATTTTTAATGGAACCATCAACATGATGGCAGAGCAGCCGTATGGAATTGCTGCTCAAACGCAGAAAATGTCATGGGCTGCACCGCTCCCTATTTTAGGGTATGCAGGATCCCCAGTGTTCGGCTGCTGGCAGCAGTCATTATTGTGTATTACAGACCCACAATCCCTTCTAATGGCATTTAAATTGATCAGTAATTGGCATCCAGCCCCTGCAAATATAAAAACCCGCAGAAAAAGGTCACAATAAGATCGGAGTAATTCCGGGGGGGGCCTCAACGGCAAAGCCACAGTCGAAAACAGTAATTCAGAAGCCGTCATCTTTGACAACCATCCACAGCCACGGTGGCATTACTTCTGTGTGGTCATGTTCATAAACTTTTACAAATCCTCAAGAAAAAGTCCTGTGTGCTGAGGAAATCCTACGATATTTTGCACATAAATGTGGGGAGAGGAAAGTGTAGAAACTTGCACGTGTCGCGTGATTGGTGTGTTGGTTTGGGTAGCCAGAGGGATATTCAAGAAAAACTCCCAATGTGATTTGTAATTTCGCCATTTTTCGGTACAGTTTGTCCAGCACTCCAGACCTGTGGCGTTATCCTGAAACCTTCTACTCCTCATCAGCGGACGTTTGCTTGGCTATTGTTTCTGGTAAGAGTTAGTTAAATCTTTCACCTTGCATCTCCTTGAACTTTCGTACCCAAGTTGTGCTGAGTGCAAAATAACAGCATACGCCTTGCTAAAAAATTCAAACCGTATCGTTTAAACAAACGCAGCACGGACTAGAATCAACAAATTATTAAAATAAAAACAAAAACAAAAAACCATGGGCTTAAGACAGTAACTGGTATTTATCATGTATGTATTTTGAAATTGGGTATGCTAGACTGTTGGAAAACACCACGACCCATCACGGAATCAAACGCATCGCAGCATTGACATTCAAACTCAGCGCAGAAAATGTACAACGGGCAATCGAGTGGAACGTTTAGCAAAATTAATAATGGTCAACGTTGATAGAACTGAACAAGTGTACGCCTTTGAAATGAAAAAAAAATCAACGACCATACTTTGCATACATGGACGCCTATTAATTATTGCAGGAAGGTGGAAACAGATGTTTCTAAATAACGCTGGTATAGAGAATATTTCGGCATCTTTTTCGAAGCGATGTTATTAACCACTGTTGTAGGCAATTCCCCTGAACGATATTAGTTTTTCGTCCGGTACAGCCATCACTGACTTCAAAGAAGGTGGAGTGTATGTTCCTTCCCCAATTTCAGAAGTGTCATTTTCATTTTTTTTTAAAAGAAATCTCCAGGTTGTCAAGGTTCAGTTGCAGCTTTTGTGACCTTTGAGGAAAAGAAAGAAATCTCTAGCCGGTTTCATTCAGTGCCAGAAGGAATTAAATAAATCAAAAGTGATTTTTTAGAACGGTTTCAAAGTGCGACTCATTTTAAGCGCAAGTAATTTCGCAATTTTGAACTTTTTTCTACACTATACAGACGTTTTTCCACATCTGGTAAGAATTCACTACAGGAACTTCAAATTTACAAACAGTTGTTTATCATTTTCTTAGTTTTAATACTGTTTTAATTATTTCTTAAAATTTCTTTGTTTTTCCCCCACTTTTATATACATATGTATAAAGTGTGGAGTCTGCTCCAGGAAGGCTTTATTTTAACAAACTACTTTTTATTCCTCTTTCTATACTTTTCCCACAAAATTTCACAGGGTACACAATTTACGATGCCTACGATATGATAACCAACAACCACTTTTTCAAAGTCTGGTCTGTTGTTATACATCACGTGTGTGTAAGTAACACTATCTGCAATGTGTTTTTAATTGCAAAGCCTGGGGTGTTAACTGAACTGTGCGTGTAACAAATATTGTCAAATATATAATCTTAAAGATACCTTGTATTTCCTCTATTTTTCTGTATTTCTAGTTTTAAAAAAATCAAATGATCGGTGTTAATTTAACGCCTTGGGCGTTAAATTAACACCACAGATTTTGCAGTGTATATTCTGTCCTTTTAAAATAAACAAGTGGTTCTTTGTTTCTGTTCTAGATGAGTTGTGTGTTCATGATTATGAATAAGGAACGAGGCGCATTGGGTGCAGGCATGATTTCACTACTGTCCGAATTCAACGCCATCTTCCTCCACTCCCGTCTTCTCCTGCTAATGCATGGTTTCCCGAAAGACTCCTTGGTCTACGGTATCCACAAGGTCTTCAATCTGGTAACTTTTGTGGTCCTGCGGCTGGTTCCTATCGGGTACGTGTCGTACATAGCATGGACCAGCAGTCACTTGCCCGCCTCCTTGGTCGTAGGCTTCCCACTTATGGTCACGATTATTTTCGTCCTCAACTGGTTTTTGTTGTGGCGGTTGCTTTACAGCGATTTCTTAACAAAAGGTGATCAGCACGCTATAATGGATAACTGATACATAACGTTTTCGCATCCACGTATTAAAATTTTCTTTACCCTAAAATGTTTAGGACACAATCTAACCCCTCGAATTTTTTCCGATATCGCCGTAGTGCATTTTTTTCAGGAGCCGAGCCGATAGGGTACCTTCGAGTAACTCTTTCCGGTCATTTCAACACTAATTTTGTGAAAATCGAATGTACCGTTTATATGCAACAGCCATATATGCGAGCGAGACAGGCCAGCCAAAAATGTGTATTTTTCCACAGCGGTGTTCAAAGCATGCAGGCCGGCACGCGTGCAGCCTTGAACTTCAAATGACTGTATATAACAAAACACATGGGCGTAAATCCCTGGGAATCGGGGTATATACCCCCTCACACCCTTGTTAAGAGGTGGATGGGCTATTAAATCATCCCCCCGAGAACTCGGCTGTGCCTCTCTTGATTTTCTATTAAAATGTGATATGCATGTAAAGACCCCTTTTATCATTACAAAGTTGGTATTTTCAAAATTGCTTCCCCGTTTTAGTGATATTCGTTGGGAAATCCTGAAACCTCTTCACAATCCGCTTTAATTTTTTTGCTCATCACAAAATGTGTGTGTCTATGGGGGGGAGGTGAATCTGTCCCCTGGCTGAGAGTAGCCTTGGTCAGGGTGTTCGTCATTCGCCGCATCGCACGCGCAGCACACACCGGGCTATTTCAGGGTTAAACGTTTCGAATATAAAGTCGACACATTACGAATTTCATACAGACCTACATATAAAATGCATGGGCGAAATATTTGAGCACGATCAACGCGCGCATAAAATTAAAGTTTGGTTTTTGTAAATTTCTTTTCAAGTTTTGGCAAGTCATTCTTGATGAAATCTCCCTGCAAAGCTGATCATCTCAAACAGTAATCCAGCAGCCCCGTCACAACACTTCCCTCCACTTCACTGCAAAATAGTTCATCTAAAGGGGCTCATTTTGGCCAAATATTTCGGAGTTACATACATGCATTATACGCAAGCTCACAGTCCAGCTCAGAGCTGGGACACAGAGGTTTAGTGTTGCTGACTTCCATGTACCTGAGCCCCCCCAAAACTCTGTAAGAATAACCGTGATTCGGTGGGCGAGGGTAACTTTGGGCGAATTACATTCCTAAAACCACGGATCTTTCTGTTTTGTAAAGGCTGAATCTGAATGTTGTATGCAGCCTGGTCTAGGTCTTTGCTCCATTGGAATTACGCAGAGCTGAGATGTGCTGACAATTGACGTGGCCGTAAATTGATCGCCACATAAAATGGGAGCCATAGGCGTCGCCGTGAGTTTTCCCTGGGGAATAGCACCTTTTCCCAGGAGGAAAACATCCAGCGGGGTGTAAAGAACTAATCAACCATTAAAAATGGACGGGGCTAGATTATGAGGATTTGTTAAGCGAATTTACGGTTGACTTTCCCTGTCATATCTTTTGTTTATTTTTTTTCACTTTTTTCTCCTTTTTATTTCTAATTTCTTTTCTGAGGGGCAAACATCCCCTGCGACGCCAAACATATCAGCTTACTTTATCGATAAGAAACCGACCGGGATTGGACCAAACTTCACCGATGTGATCACCGCCCCTTATTTGTTGTATAATTATTAAGCCTTATTAATTGCGTGATATATATTTACCAAGGTACAATAACTTGCCAAAGTATTCATTATTCACTACGCCCACCCCCCGGTCAAAACGTGGGATTTACGCCCATTCCCTAGCCCTCACAAGCTTGTGAAACAACTTTAAAATACGAGACGTTATCTTGAAACAGAATTCAATAAAGACCTCAAAAGCAACTTAATCACAACTTTATTCAATTTTAGTGAAATTCAATGAATTACGAGGAAAGGTCACGTGCGGTGTAGCAAAAAGGACAACGTAACAGTTGCACGTTTTCAGCATCCATACGTATTTCTCATCCATGACACATGCGTATCATAAATTCGCTTTTGCTATCCGTGAAATGTACGTTTTTAACAACTTGTAGTGCCTTGTAAATAATGAGCAAAAAATAACATTGGTAAATTATTTTGGCTTTGAAATTGGTATTAGTTTTCTTTTTCTGGGATTGTCTGTGATAGCACAAGTGTTCTGAAACCTTACATAATTAAAGCTCAATAAAGAGAAACTATGAAAAAAACACAGTGACAATTTCTTTTGAGCATTTCCTACACAAAGTAAGGTTAAAATTAAAGTGAAATTCAAAAGGGTGGCAAATCTCACCAAAATTCTTCCTCTAAGACGAGGAGCACGATTATGAGTTACACGACAACGACAGTCAACCTAGCAACAAGCTACTAGGCAACCAATGAGCGACCGGCAAACTTACCAGACGTCCAAACAATAAGAAAACAACCAAACAAGCAGTGACGATGAGAAATGGATGATAATCAAGGATTAGTTAATGCGCCATCTATTCAGTCTGCATAAATATTGGCTGTCAACAACTTTTAGCTAAAGCCTAAACAATTCTCGTTTTCCTTCCTGGACGCATAAGCACGATATAAACACATTAAAGTGGGGTTCCTTTTTAGCCTGTCATGCTAAACTTCATCTCTGAACGCTTGAGTGAGTAGTTATAGCCCTTGAAGTCATGCCATTCGATCCCATCTCCGTCATCAGCACCCTTCAGATATTTACCATTCAGGTTGGAAACCGAGCAGGAATTGTACCACCAGGCGCCTGTAGCCAACTCGGCACAGTTGGAACTCGAGTTGTCGTTGTCCTGGTCTTTGGTCGTGAAGCGGTTATTGCTGTGGCATCCAAGTGAATCTCCTGCGAGAAAGATTATTGTCGAATTAAATTAACACATGAAAAAAAAAACATCTTAAATCTGGCCTCCTCTAAAAGCGGCCTTGTCAATCGTTTTATCATATTCAGTGGCGTAAGTTTGTGCCGAGAGCTGGAGGGATGTGGGTGGGGAGAGTAACTTGCCCGGCCATGGAAAGTTGAAAGCGGGAGGGGGGGGGGTTGCTGAAACCATGTGACACTGGAAGCGAGGTCCATGATATATACACCTGTATTGCATTACACTCGTGCAGAACCTCACATCAAACCAGCGTATTTGAGGCTTTTAAAACTTGGTTTTCCTGTTTGAATTCTATTAAAGACATGTTAGTTGTTGGGAGGTCCCAGAAATATTCTTCACAATCCACCTAATTTTTTTCTCACCATGAAAAGTTAGGAGGCGTGGATTCAATAGCCCACCCCCCGTCAAAAAGTGTTGGGATTTATATACCTCCATCCTTCCCGAGGATTGACGTCCATTAGTGTGAAAGGAGAAGGTGATGGCGCGAAGTAAATAGTTGCCTCATCAAAATCTTCATTTGCTTCCTGGATAATTTCAGGAAGCAAACTGAAACGACCTGCTGACTTACCGGCCGTTCCTGAACAGCCTCCCATCCGGTACTGGTCGCCCCCACCAGCTACATGAAACGTGCTATACACGGCATACCTCGAGTTGCCCTCGAAGTCCTCGAGATCGACGCGCAGTCGGTACGAGTCGCTCTGAGCAACGAGCCGGTGCAGGGCATCGTTGCTCATTATATTGCATCATTACATAGCAGCAGCAAAGACCCTTGCCACGGAAACAGCTCTAGTAGCATTTCGCTACCGTACCGCTTCAACATGATTTTTCACCAGATAATTGTGTTCCACCAATTGCAATGAAGTGTCTGCCGTGACGTAATGGATATCTTCCAATCAGAATGAAGTTTGGCATATATGGCACGAGTTGGTTGTCATGCCAACTCTCCTGCAAGATTCAGTACCAATGACAGCTGAACAAATCCTGGTTCGTTTGAAAAATTCACAAATTAGCACTATTAGCTGTGGAATCTGGTTTAATTTCTTGAGATAAACAGCTGAACCTGGCAGACAGATGGCAAATTACCCTCGTTTGTCCGAGTTTCCCTTCATCGCTGGAGATCTAACAGTAGTTTAGTATTATGTTCATGTTCACGCAGTGGTGTCAGTAGTATTTAACAGTGTGAAACGAACTTTTTTCGCACATTAAGAAGACCACTTTCGTAGCATCCCGTTTCCTGCAGTGCTGTCTTTCCTTCTGATAAATGTCTCCAAATGAGACTTATTGGTAAACGACTGTGAAGACAGTTGGGGCAAAGTGCTTTCGCTTTAACAAAATGTGTGTGCTTTTTGAAAAGGGTTTTAAAATATGTTATGGAAGGCCTATTGACAGTAAAGCATGCATGATACAACAAAAAGCGTGGTTTTAAATTCAACATGTTAACTTTGTGGTGTACGACTGTGACTGCCAAAAGGATAAGGCGGAAACTGTCTCAGTTTTAAAGTGTTCTGGTTTACAACTGTTTTATTTACAAAACTTTATACATAGGCAAAAAAAAGAACAAGATTTGATCAAGGATTTTATCAGGTTGTGGGCAAAGAAATGAAGTTTACAATCATCTATTAAATTGCCTCTTTGTTTCCTGATTGTCAGCTATCCCATTCAATGTATTTTGTTACTAACAAAAATCAAATTCAAATTCAATCAGTGAAATACAAAATCACTTTGACCTTTTACAAGTCATTTCAGGCTCTTTACAATCACATAGAAGATTAGAGTTCGTTGTCATAAAAATGCACAAAAGGTTTTATTCTTTCTCATTGAGAAAATATGCAGTTTTCAGTGTATACATCCCTTATAATTAAGTGAACTTCCAGCTCCCACGATATGTCAACTCTCTGCTCAATTCTCAGCACTGCACTCGGGTATTGGTAGGGTTTCTGTCATCCAGATCGGTTTGTGACACCAGGTAGCACGGGTAGTGTGGTTGACATCAAAAGTGACCACTCACCATCTAAATATAAAGAAATGACCAAACCGTATAAGTGCTACATTTCTAATTTGGAAATAAAAGGTAAGTTCCTGGCTATAATTCAAACTTCAAAATGATCATACTAGCTTTTAAATTAAATTACATGCTGAATCCTTCACCCTTGACAAATATGACTGTAAAATCAGATCAAATTGCATCTATAAATTCTATTGATATTTTCAGTGAAGGAAAGGAACTTCATCTTATCACAACATCAATGAACGTTGTAGAATAATCTGCCTAAATAAATAAGGTATTTACACTTGGGAGTTTCTTCAGTGAGAAGTACTTAAGGTGGTTGGGTTCTGCTCCATTGCTGACCTTCACAATAAAATCTGTTTTTTCTCGATTCTGTTCTAAGCGTGGTAGATTATTTCTGGCATGAGGTACCTGAATTTGTGCCTACTGGGCAAAAGTGCCTCTAAATTGTGTCTCGTGGCCAACGACAAAACGCTTTATGGGAGCTACCCAAATGTCGCGCTGACATACCAGAATCATCTGGCATTCTGACTCTCAGCCTAGCTATGCTACTTTCCACATCACTTCCATTTCACACGTCACTCCAATAAGCTCAAGCTAATTTTTAAATAATAAAAGAAGCAGCTTTTTGCCAGAACCTGGCTAACCTAATTTACTAAGGAAAAAGGCACAGACACAGGTTCACCTTCAATAATGGTTTGGAGTGAACATTTAATCAACCAGTCAGGAGAGGGAAAAAAACTTCCTAGTGGACTCCCACCTCTAATTCAGCTCTAAACAAATTGGGGGAAAGAACATTCCATTAAAATCTGAGGAGTTAAAGCAACTGATCAGTACACACGCCAAAACCTAAAAAAAAATTAAAAACATGTTACATATGGGAAAACTGCCTGTTTTTTTTCCTACAGATACAGAGCATGTCAGTGCTTAAATTTCCTCTTGACTATGAAATCTATTGTTAAAGTTTACAAAAAAAATCATCGTAGGGGAAAATTAATAACAATGAAGACAGACTGTTATAAAAATACAGAGCAATTTGTTTATGTAACTGTATACCTATTCCATCCTAAGCTGGACATGTACCATTATGAGCCGCAAGCTGGACCACGAGAGGGCGCAATTTTCCCAGCAACGAAGGCTCCTTTGGCTGGAACTGCACTTCGCTGGTTCACAAACGACTATGGAATGCAGGCGTTGCGGTCGCGTCGCTACCAACACAATGAACACTCACGAACCAGCATGCCTCTCTGCAACCGATGAGGGGGTGTTTTTTCTCAAGACAGTGTTCGCTTGAAAATAATGGTGTCACCAAGTCATAGACTCAGTTCTGAAATTCACGAACACGAACGCGCGGGGAACATAAGAACACAAGATTTTAAATTTAACAAGTCAGTGATCACAAATGCACTTTGTTGAAAATCCCTCATCCATATTTATTCTCGATAATAAAGTTGAGATATTTGAAAACATCAGTACCTGGCAATCTTTAACATAAGTGACATTAAAAAGCTTTCAATTTTATGTTTTTCTTATACTGAAAAAAAACTTCAAATATAAACCCTTCAACCCCAAACTAATAAATCGCAGGAGTTTCTTTGAATGCCAAATAATTACTGTTCCCTAAACCCGACCGTCAAAGTTGCTTCGCTGCTTCATTTGCATGATGTATGAACTGACCTTGAATTGACCATCTGGCTGTAAAATGGATCTTGGGAGTTATTAGAAAGAATTGCTAAGCAAAAGCGAATAATCGACATACGCGTACTATAATGCTGTACCAATTATCCACATCCGTTACCACAGAATATAATTATTACAGGCATCTTCTGTCATTCGTCATTGGAACAGTAAGTAATCGCATATCCAAACCAAAACATGAACATTAAACTTTAAAAAGCAGAAGTGAAATATTCCGTTTAATAATTCCTTCACCATGATGAGTGATGTTTGTATTTCAAAACTGAAATACCTAGCTATGTTTAAAATCAGTTAAATTCAAATTTGAAGTTTAGAATTCATTTTTTTTTCTGAACATAAAAAAAAATTAACGATGGAATTGTTGTTTCACCGACGCATGGAACACAATTCTAAAGCCGGGCTTGAAGTCGATTCGATGACTCAAAATAACTACATGTCCACTGAAATGGATGCTTCTAAGATTGTAGACTATTTTGTCTCTTTACGTCTCCCAAATAAACCTTTAAAAAAATCCTTCACACTCACAGCAATCAAAGGTCTGGTCTCTGCTCAAAAAAATATCTAAGCGTTTTTGGCGCAATTTGTTGGTGTTTAACGTCTCTGGAATTTGGCCTAATGACTCTTCGACGTCGTTTTTATTTTGCTGGCGACTCTGCTGATTATAAGGAACAAAATTGAAGGTTGGACTTGCATAATATTCCTAGCTTCTGGTCTTAAACTACCTCTCTCCGGATTTCGTGAAAGTTAACTAAAATGTCTAAGGTTAATTTACAACATCCCAGGAACCAGTGAGCGCAGCTATTTCATATTCATCGCTGTAGGTTTCGGATCGATAGTAAACATGCCGGCCGTCAGTGCCCCAAACACCAACCTTTCCCGCCGAAATATCTATCAAGTTCAGCTGGTCGTTGTCCAGGATCCATTTGGATCCCGTGGCATCGGGATCTTCGCCAGCTCCCCGGCTCACTTGGTTAAACAGTACTGCCCACATGTTCCCCGCTGGCGAAACCGCAATCCCTTTGATCATCTGGGGACTCCGTACACTCTCACGACTGTCGTCGTACAGCTGCCACAGCCCAAAGTTGGTGTCACCCATTACGGGCAGCCTGAAGATTTTGCCCCATCTGTCAAGAAGCCACACATTGCTCGGACCTACACATAACTTAATGATAAGCGCCATCTTGGGAAGACTCTTCTGAGACCACGCAGTGATCCTACCGTGATTACCTGAACCACCATACGAGCCTATTCGATGGTACAGCCTCTGCCCAGACGAAAAGAACTGTACCACCCAGAGACCAGACTTCCCCGCGGCAACTTTATCCGCCCGCAAGGTCCCCAACGATTTCCAGTTACTACCCTCAGGTTTGTCATCAGTTATTCCTTCTCTGCGATACACGAAATTATTGTTGGTACCAAGTGCCCAAATGTGCCCGTTAGGGCCGACAGAAATGGCTTGCTTGTTGGACCAAGGTTGCTTAATCCACTCTCCATAGCTGGTGGCGCTGTTCACTTGTCGACTGAAGATTTCGTTATTGGTGTTCACAGCCCAAACGTGTTCCGGCCCTGTTGCAATCTGCTTCAGTGTGCCTAACTCGGCATCGCTTCCAGCAGAAAATCTGACATTAAAACTTAACAGGCCAACCAACATCAAGCTGCAACAAACGGAATAAATTCTTTAAGTGTGGTGGAGTTATACTTAACTTACGGTCAGTTTACACAATGCCTTATAAAAGGGTGAAGCTCAAAGAGCACAACTAAGGAAAACGTGTTTTCTCTGATTTTTACCTGTTCAAATATAATGGAAGCGTTCAAATCGAACGCAGTGTCATTTGTCTTCGGAGCTCAACTATAACAAGCTAGAAATGGCCTTTTCTGTTCGTGCCAAGATGCAAATTCAGAATGAAGATTGCGTCTTTCAGAGAAAACGACGGGAACCCTCGACCTGGGTTGGTAGTGGATAATCCCTTGGGCATGCCAAACAATGCATGTAGCCATTGTTTGGCATGCACGACGGTTTATCCACTATGACAAATGACACTGCGTTCGATTTCAATGCTTCAATATTATTTGAATAGATGAAATAAGAGAAAACATGTTTTCCTTAGAGGTGCTCTTTAAGTACAACATCCAGTTGCCATAATTAGCACAGGTAAAGCGTTTTTGTATTCCGTTTATTTTAAAGAAGAAAAAGACCAAACGAGCCGAACAAATTAAATATCAACATACCAAGTTGAAATAGCCTCCATACTGCTTGCAAATGTCCAATCGGTTTCTGCAAGTCTGAAACATGAGTGACGAAAGAGCTCCTTACAGACCATCCCGAAACCGAATTCATTTTGCCCTAGTGTAACCTGCTTGTATTACCAACGTATTACGTACGTTATTCACGGATTTCAAGTGAAAAAGTGTTCTTAGAGCTATGCGGATATTTAGCACCTAATTTGTCTGAACAAAAATTGAGCATCGTTTTGATCTTTTCTAACGAGGCTTTGCCCCCTCCCCAAAAAAGCATAATTACGTACACGTTTGCTCATTAACAACCAAAGGAAACTGAAGGCTTTTGCTACTCACGCACAAACGTGCTTTTTCTGCGCTGTCTGCAACAATACAATTTTACTTGTGGGAGTGGCCGACTAAACACTGGGTGAAGCTGTGCAGAATAACTGGAGTTGGCTGGTGAAGAGTGAGTCTTCTATCTTGCCTACAACCTTTTATGATGGCCGAAACTGCAGGTTATTCATACCTATTAATGATAGTCAATGACCGGCAAATTTATGCAGATAACTAATTGTCGATTATAAATGCAATGCACCATCTACGGATTTTTTTTTCAATATTTTAAATGGCAACGGTACATCGTGTGCTGAATGGAGATTTTAGATTTGATAAGTCAGTGGTTACAAACGCAGCTTGTTGAAAATCCCTTCATCCGTATTTTATTTTCACTGGTTGTCAACTGTAATTTTCCGTGCTCTTGACTGATAGGAAACCAGCCCAATTAATCAATTCACGTGGACAATATAAAAAATGACATTACCATAATCGCGGGGATTTCTTCCAGTAATTGCACGACATGCTGAATTACCTTTAGTTCCCGAAAGCCAGATATGATTAATGATTTCTCATACATCAAGCCTGCTGCTGTTTTTCTATTGTCCTTCGTAGAGGCGGGCACATTTTAGTCAGACAATTCATCACAAAGTATCGACTGACGCAACTGAAGAACAGGACCAAAAACTTCAGAAGGAAACGAGGACCTTGAAATCAAGATGGTCGACCATCATTATTTTCATACGAACGATCCCAGGAGGACAGGTTAGAGTAAAAAACCACGTTTTTATTCTCGTGAAAAGGATGCCAAAAACAAAAAAAAAACGGAGGACCTCCGAAACTTTCAAACTAGCCCTACCAACATGAATGTGTACGATTTCACTCTGAAATTTATGATCTACGCAAAAGTTCTGAAAAAGTGCATCTATTGCATGAATAGCGCCCCTAGTGTTAGGCCTACGTGTTGTCAGCACGTGTTACACCACCCTCATCCCCCATCCCACAGTCCAAGTATAATGCAGGGACTGCTATTAGACCAGATTATTCTCGTACTCATTTCCTGTGCAACTTTCAACCCATACGTTTAAAATACCCGTAGAAAGGCAGCGGCAAAATAGTAATCAGCTCTTGGAACATTACAATACTTCAGTGGTTGAAGTTGTTTTGGAATATGTTCTTCGTATATTAAAGGTCCTTTACATACTATCTACTGAGCTTGAAGACACCTACAGATTCTCCTCCAAAAATGGTTAGTAGGAGAAAAGATATTGCTTTCGAGCAAAACACGTGCGACCAAACACGGCGACGTATCGAGTCCTCGGCTCTGTTTCTGTACAGCTATGGATCCGAGACACTCGTTGCACTGGATTGAATTCGAGACACTTCAGGTGAGGAAAATAATGCCAACATTCAAAACCGGGGTACTCGTGTCGTGTAAGTGTCTGCCAAAGGTTACACTATACCGATGCGTTTCCGTATTTACTGTAGAACCTTTTTATTTTAATCCAAACTGCAGCTAATACATATACACTTGTAATACAGGGGTTTCACAAACGTGCGCCTCCAAGAGTTTGCAACGCATGGCCAATTACAATGCGCGAAATCTGTCGACCAAATGCGCGTTTGGAAATGGTCGACAAATTTTGCGCGTTGTGATTGGCCAACGTGTTCAAACTCTTGGAGGCGCACTATTTTGAATCGCCCGTATTCACATGTGACGTGAGTCTTCAATTAGTACAAGCGTGAGAATGGGGGGAGGCATCAATGGAAATTGTTTATTTTTCAATACCGAGAAATGGCATGGCGTAACCACTGCATGCTAAGCGCAAAAATTTTTTACAACTGTCGTTCAGAGCGGCCTCGAACCCGGCACGATGGACCCGCTGGATTGATGCCGCAACTGTAATTTGGAAGTGGAATTATTAACGCCTCCGTGACTGCATAGCCACTTCGTTCAAGGAAACTGCCATATCAGTCACCAAGAAATCGTGCGTCTGAAACCGCAAGCAAAGCCAACGTTTTGAGCTAGAAATGCGCTAGTTGTCCATGACATGTCGATGTTTTCCATCCTTGGACAAGAAGTCACTACAAATTAACCGCCACAGGAGGACGAAGTTAATAACGGTAATGGCCGTGGTCATGAACGGTAAAACGGCCGCCAGATAGGCAGGTAAGTGCTGGGTAGTGAAGTACGAGCAGTAGGTGGCGTAGATCAGCGGGGCCAGGCGCAGGAGAATGTAAGTCGCCAGGTTAAAGAGGCGGTGGACGCCGTAGATGAGGGTGTCTTTGGAGAATCCATGCATCAGCAGGAGCTGGCGCGAGTGAAGGAAGATGGCGTTGATTTCACTCAACAGGCCCAGGGTCAAGATGCCCATTGCTTTGTGCTCGATACTCATGACGAAGAAAGTGGAGGTCATCTTCGGGGAGAAGCACACAAAATACACACACACTAGATTTTAAGAATGTTTGCCATTCAAAACAAATAATGCCAGAAAAAAACAGTCTCCATGCATAATGGATGCGCGAAAAGGTTTTTAACCCCCAAAAGAGCCAGGCTATTTAGGTTTAAAAGTGCACGAAACACTCAGAAACTTCATTGCATTTGTTTGAAACCGCTCCTCAAATCAGTACACCTCAGCCGGCAGGGCATTTCAGTGTAAGCGAAAATCCATCCAGTTTGCACTGAAGGATTAAACTTCTTGCATAATTTTACAGGAAAAGAGAAACAGTGGCATAGAGCTGAACCAGGGAGAGACAAGGTTCGTGGCCAGACAGTCCCGACACTGTGGATACGGCCTGCGATGACAACTTGTTGAAATGACATTCGCAAAAATGTAATAACAAACAGTTTATTCCTTCAATCACTCTTATGATGACGATGCAAGGGCTGGAAGAGAAGAAAAACCGACAACAAAATAATGTGCCACTCTGAAGTTTGACCGCTCTTCCATCTTCAAGTGCCTGTCGAAGTCACACGAATTTATGGGGGGGGATACCCCACGCATTAGAAGTGCAATGTGAATAAACATGGCTCCAGGTGGGATGCGTGCTTTTGCCATTACACAACTATCTGGGGATACACCATGTACTTTCCTAAAGGGAAATGGTTTCATTTCCGGTCTTGAGAGGAGACTTCTCCCCTCGTGGAAGCTTCCCCTGTCAAAATGTCGGACTTTGGTTCCCTTTGGACAAATATCCTTCAGAGCCACGATTAAAGCCTTTATCCAGGTCGAGTTTCCCAGCACGTTATGTAAACAAAAGTAACACTTACAATGGTATGGTGTACAAAAAGTGCCCAAACTTTCCCGAAGCCATTGTGAGTCAGCAAATCGTATGTGTCGTAGATGAGATACCCTAGAAACAGGTAAGAAAGGGGAAAACTTAGTACCGAATATTTGTGCCGGATATAGGGGGTGGGGAACTGGGGGGGGGGTGACTTGCCCGGCTATGGAAATTTGAAAAGCAAGGAGGTGCTGACACTATCAGACACTAGGGGGCGATGTTTATGACACAGATGTACATTCGTAACTATGTATTACACTGCTGCAGAATCTTGCATCAGAATGGCATTATCTATGGCTTTCATTTTGTGGTTCACCCTTTTCCGGTACTATTGAAATACATGTCGGTTACGTGAAGTCCGAAAACTTCTTCACTGTCAGTGTGCATGTGGGGGACTCAGTCTCCTCTTAAAAAAAAACCCAAAGAGTATTCCCCGGGATTCACACCCATGGGAAAACTGATCCCCTGCGCATCGTGTCGATTGTCGGGGTGGTCACATAGAAAATAATACATGTGAACATAACAATTTTACCAGTGCAGTATGATTTTAAAGAGTAGAACACATAAGAGAAATACAGGGAATGCCATTTTTCCTGCAACCCCATCCAAAAATTGTCATTTTTTCACACTATTATCAAAATATCTGAAACGCTCAACGAATTGATAATACTACTGCATTATCAGTTTCTGTATTGCATAAAGTTCCGTACCCGAAACTACTGCGAAGGTAACTTCGACCGACACAGCGTAGTGAGTCACGGGTTCACTCCAAAGTTCCGGCTGGGTGAACAAACTGGAAAGAGACAAGGGAAATCATGCCCCCTAGATAGAATATACAGACAACTCAATCATCAATGCAATGCTGTAGTACCCACTCCGAGGTGCTTGTGTTATTGCTTTACCTCGAGTAAGTTGGTACTTACGGTTTAAAAAAAAACAACAAAATAGAAAAAAATCTACAATAATGCTGATCCTGAAAGGGCATAAGTATGCACAACTTCTTGGATGTACACGTACGGGTATACATGGCTTTTTGAACACGTATAGAATGCAAGACGATGCTTGATCCAATTTCTGCGCGAAACAAGGGTCTAGAAATTCGACCATCAATGACATGGTCAGTATGCCCACCTTATTCTCCATGGTTCGTACGAAGAAAGTTAGGCGTAACACGCTTCAAAATCAGGGACAAAAATACAGAAATACACGCCAAAACTTGAACAGTGAACACCACAGATTGTCCACAAGTTTGACAAGTGACAGTGGGGCGTGGCCCGAGATAAAGGAACCATGATTAATTTAGCCACACATGTACGCGACTCCACAGGTCGATTATACACAGCCGTTGAGCTACAAACCACGATACAACATTGTGGTGTTGGGTCACTCTCTATGATTTGACCTGACCACCGAAAACCTGACGACTCAACAACTGGTCTTTATGGGAGGCTGTAGGCTACGGATGTGTAAAAGTACATGCTACAAAATACGATCCGTCCAGCGCACGTCTTCCCAGCTAGTTCTATGGTCTGACTCACCAATACATGACGAGTGCGGCAACAATGACCGCGTTGACCAGCGACGTTGCCGCGTTCCGCCATCGGTGGCGTTCCTTGCCTGCGTACTTATTGGGTGGGGACAGAATGTCAAAGTCCAAGAGCAAGTTGAAGCACTTGTACCCCAACGCAGAGGCCACGGTGATGGGGATGAACGAACGGATCATGGTTCCAAACATAAACCATGCATACACCCAGCTTGTAAATTCTGTCCACAACGACTACAGCATTACATAGCATTCAAGGCTATAAAAGGCACACCAAAAGTTTACGAGTAGGCAGTTTTGTGTGGTCGAAAACTACATGCACATTGTGCATGTAAATGTACATTCAAACAGCAGGTGTGGGAGGGTATCACAGGGGTATGGAAATGCAGTTTCGTTCGGCAACCTTGACTTAACCAACTCGTTTATAGAGTGTGACTTTGGGCATTTTGGGCAGGATTATTCCTATGGTGTTCCCGAAAGGACAGACTAGACCGTCGTAATTGTCGGAATGCATACACTCTGATTACGCTCTATAAAGTAAACCTGGCTTTATTTTGGAGGTATTATTTGGACTAAAAGCATCCTTTTTACTTCATCTTCATCGTCTTTTTACATTCGGCACTCAAATTGATAGTAATAAGGGATGCTTTTACTCTAAAAATTGTTTATCAATTAAACGCAATAACCTTGATACATCATGAGTTTTGAGTTTGCAGACATGTCAATTAAGACAGTCAACATTACAGAGTCAATAGCAAATGGACGTCACAATGTTGGATTATTCTGAAACACTATCCGTCGATCTATGTAATACATTCGGTACTTCAACCTGTTTATAAACTGATGGCAAGAAAGTGTTTCGAACAGTTTTTTGCGATGATATTTTCAAGTTTAATGATCGGCGAAAAAACTTTGGTTTAGCGAAATAAAAGGCGGGACTGGTACCCTCTTTACTTTCTGTCGGGCTTGCTCGACACAGTCATAACATTAGTCAGGCCCACTAGGCCAAAATTTAGCCCTCACCAACGTACGCGTCGTCTCTTTTAACTTTTTTTTAATACACATGTATTGAATTTGCATGAGAAGGACGCATATTATCAAGCGATGTGGGTCGATGTACATGTACATATACGTATGGCATACACGTACTTGCGCTGTCGGCCGCTGCTCGCTCATGGTACTAACAACACTCTGTTTTACGTGTTTTCGGGTTAAAAAACTATTAGCTATGAGCATAGAGAATTTGTACAAAAGATCTGTGAACATCCTCAAAACGAACTTCAAAATGTGATTTGTATTGAATGTGTCCCGGCCTGGAACGTTTTTTAATAGCAGCCTGGTTGCATATTGTTATTTATGGACACGCGATTTCCGAATTAGTCCGTAAATATTTGCATATAACATTCGACGTATCTAATAGCCCTTCGCGTCACTCCGAATTTAAAAATCAACTTGAAAATCCGTTTGATATTCTAAGTTGAGTATATGTTACCCTGAGGAGAACTGGTATGAGGCGCGGTGGCCAAGTGGTAAGGCGTCTGTCTCGTAAACAGAAGACCGAGGGTTCGAATCCCTCTCGCGCCTTTCTATGTCCCTCATGTTAATATGTTTTTTGTATACTAAGGTTTACCTTTTGTTTTTTGTGTGTGTTCGTTTGTTTCCTCTAGGCGCCTCGTTTGGGTTTCAATTTCTACGTAGCTGTCTCGGATTAAATAACAGATATGTCTTAAAGGAAAATAAGTATTTTGTAATCACTTTGAATAATCGTGCGCAATATGAATGTTATTCATTATCATAGGTGAACTGAGATAATGAATTAAGATAATGAATAATGGTGACTTCCGTGTCCGTGCGTGTGTTGTGGTGGCGCTGTTTTGTCAGCGCCACCACTAGAAACTACTAGATAAGAGAGTAGGCCCTATTGCATTTGCGGCACACCGTTGCTATCTTCGGTGGCCCAACAAAGTACCGCATTGGCGACTTGAATTCTTGAATTCCATCATTTCGTTATACAGTTTCGCCTGTCCATTCAATGATTTTTTTTACCATTCAGTTTGGCACTTTCCCCATTCGATTTACCATTTTCGACACTCAATTCGTCAATTTCATCATTCTGCAGTAGCTCATTAATTCACCTTACTACCCAGCAATTTTGCCATTTTAATCTCGCAATTTCACCTTTCCATTCGGCGATTTCGCTATTCCATTCAGCAGTTTCACTAATCTAGGTGGTGATTTCGTTCATTCAGTTCTGCTATGAGACATGATTCAATTTTGTAGATTCACTATTCGATTATGTATTCACTATCCAATGCGGCGATTTCGCACCATTCTGTTCTACAGTTTTATGCATTGTGTATCGTCGATTTCATCTTTCCACCCTGCAGTTTCAAAATTCCATCTGCCCAGTTCGTCTGAACAGTTCGTGAAAAGATTATTTCTTTTTTATCTATTTTTTTTCATAAACATAATGAACTCTCAGTGACACAGAGCAAGTTCAGTGTACCATGGAGGTAGGGGTTGTACATGGCCCGGGAAAATAAGATGATTACATGTAAGTAACGTCAACATTTTTAAATCTATACATAGACATGGGCAGTGATGATTCAGAATTTCGACAGTCTTTTCTAAGTGTCTTGCCAGTGGTTTTTTTCACCGTGACTGCTGTCGGTTATTATGACATGAACGACTCATATACTCAATTATCAAGCCAACCGGCAGTCGTTGCACACCACAGACATAAATAACCCAGGTTATTTTTGTCCATGTTGCACACATAATGCTGCGCAGCGCCACCACCGTTCGTTTGGAGTGAGCACGGTCGAAAACGCATGTCGTTCGTTCGTGCGTGCGTTGCAAGCAAAACAAGTGGACTTAATACAGTATATCAACGGTGTTCACGATTTCAAGAAAACTAACCCGTATTTCGTAATTCTGTCCAGTTATGCTGGATGTGAAAGTCTCGGTAAGTCATATCTGCTTCTGTTCACAAGAAATTTGCATCTCCGGCTTGGTAGTGTCACCCATTTTGACATGTTTTGATGTGCCCAGGTCCAGGAAGGTTGTCAGTCGACTAGTCTGGCGTATTATTGGTTTCCCCGTATATTCATGTCACTGTCACTTTACTGTAGCTGAACTGAGTGGAGCGTTCCTCTTCTTCGAATGTTGAGAGGAATACTAAAGCTATGTCATTGGTCAGCATGGTACAGTAATGTCATCAGTCATAGAGCAAGCAGTTAGGCCTGGGCCTACATGTGTATGAGTCATACATCATCGTCAGATGATGGAGGAAGGAACATCCTCTGCAAGTACAATGAAATGAGGTCATTTGCGCCTTAGGCCTGTGCGTAATTCATTTCTGACCTAACTGCAGTTCTAGCCCCACTAGTGTGGCACGGAGTCTCACTCCCGCTCCATCCTTAGCCACACATCCATATACGCAATTTCGTGTCAGCGTACTGAAAATTTTCGTCTCACCCACTTATCGTGGGCGCAATTTCTTTTGTACACAGAGATGAAAGCTTCTCCGCTTTCTTAGCGCCATTTATTGAATGATTTCACTCATGTTGTTCTGACATTTTATGGTCTTTTTGCCTTCACCCATTCAATCTCATGGGCTCGCTCTCACAGTTGCGTCTTTAAAATAAGGTCGTTGAACATTACGTCACTTGACCCCTCATCGTCTCGACTGCTGTTCCATGTCAAGACATGTCTAATACAAGGACTGAGCGATAAGATACTACATGTACCAATGGGTGCTTCCAAAACTTTGGCAGCACTTTAGATGTGTCTTGACATGGAACAAGATGGAACTCTATTCACCAATTGTCTTTGGCGTGACATGCCACAGAATTTCAGTTTGTTTTCATTTGGGTTTTCTGATGACATCACTTTGTGTGATCACATGGATATTGGAAAGAGTCAGTAATTGGACTGTCCATGAATGGGTCTGCATTAGCAGTCAGGATAGCCCGAAAGCAGGAGTTGTCATGGTTGCGTTGCACAGGGTGGTGTACGTGTGCCGTGCAGCATGCATGCAACACACATGCAGAATAGCATGGCAGTGATGACTTGAAAAGAAAAAAGCTGCCGAATTTCAAATTATTCACTATTGGAATATCTGACCTTCAATTTGATCGAATATTCGAATACATGTATTCGGTCATACCTACCGGCAGATTGTTGATGAACAAACCTCATACAAAATCAGTTGCAATAACGTACACAATTGTACATTATAATCAATATAATAGTTTCCCACATCTAGGAGTATCTCTGGCCAAGATTTAGCAAGATTTCTATTCCTTTAAAATGGTTTAATGAATAATTTACAGTGTACTTTTTGGCACGTAAGATTTCTGTCGCTTTTCATTTGAACCTGCTTGAAACAATCCTCCACAGTGCAATTTTTTTCATTTAAAACCAAACAAAATTTTCCCTTTTCATGAGTTTTGCATTCAAATATTCAAATTTGAAAACTATTATTCAAATATTCGCTAATCAATCAATTATTTGGATATTCGGCACAGCCCTAGGACCCGGGAATGCACACACAGACTGGTGGGCGGAATGTCGTCCTTCCCAACCATCTTGGTGCAAGGCCATGACGGCGATGCGCCGTACACGGTGGCCAGGCACACCATCTGCAGCACCGGCGGTGGAAGAGGAGACCTTCCCCCTTCACTTTTTTGTGCTTTCGCTAGTTGCTAAATGAGTTACAGAAACCTAAAGAAAGGCTCCTAGCCACCGAAAAGATACTGTGAATTAAGTTTTAGTGTCGTTAAAAGCAAGGAAAAAAATCTGTAAATATTAAATAATGACTGCAATCATTTTCCTCTGTCAGACCTTTTTCTGTTTTTCCTTTGTCAGCAGGCCACTTGTTAAATGCCATGGCGTTGGTGAAAGTGGGAGGCAAGACCCTTCGTGCCCATCAGAATCACACTAAAGATGAGTCTAGCGATGCCGACAAGAAACCAGCCAAGAGAGTGTTGGATGAAGAAACCTTTCTGGAGGTACGTCATTCCATTTCGCAAAAGAAGTCCTCTGTGCAGAGGTTATGTACTTTCACCGCTGTAGAGTTTCATATAACTACGGAGTATGGTTGATAGCTCTTAATTGTTTTGTCACAAAGTTTTATCCTTCATTTTTTTTTCTGTCGCATGGTTCGTGTGTAATCACCGATATATGGAGGCGGTTAGAAATCCCCACAAACATATTTAAAATAATGAAATTTCAAGAATGTTTTCTAATAGAAGTCTGGACTGAAGGTTTCTTGCACAGCATGCATATGTACACTGTGCGTAAGTCTGGACGTTTACTTGCTGTAGCCAATGCTAGTGCAGTGTTTTGGCACAAGTCCATAGAGTTGGATATAACAAGTCCAAGATGTCGATCGTACTCGCTGCCCCATACACAATAAAGGTTTTACCCTAAAAGACATGCATGGATTCCATTGTTTTTCACTGTACTTTCAGGCATCTGGGTGGAGAATTCTCCTAAGAATTTTCACGCTTTTAACCTGAGGGTCAATGGCATTTGTGATGATTGTGTGTTTAAAACACGTGGTTTGGTGCACGGGAAAACATTCACCCATTTAGCTGCCTAACCCTTCGTCGTTTTTCTGTCCTGTGTGCCCACCCCAGGATCTTGAGAAGATCATCCAGAGAGATTTCTTCCCGGACCTGTCCAAGCTGAAGGCCCAGAAGGAGTACTTGGAGGCCCGGGAGCGCAACGACCTGGTACGAATGAGAGAGCTGGCCCTGAAGTACGCAGGAACTGGACAGACAAGAAGACCTGACGCAGACACGCCTACCCCTTGTAAGCAGGGCCACACGTGTGGAGTTCATTCATTTTTTATATTAGCAGAAAAAAACAGTAACACAGTTGCAATGAGATACAGTTAAAAAAAAAAATTAAAGAAACACATATACAAGAAATATTTAATTAAAAAGACAAGAAAAAATCTAGCATCCAAATAAACCACGCTTTTGTGGGATTGGTTAAAGTGAACTTACTTGCTATCAAGTAACTCCAATTAGCACAATCATCCCATGTTGATCTTGTTCCTTTCAAAGATCATTTATCTAAAATTAATCAAGACCCAAAGGCAATGTGTACATGTATGTAAATAATCTGCTTTAAAGTTCCATTTTTCCTGTGATTTCATTCTGCACAAAGAATTTACTTTGAGGCCGCTAACCTACTTATGCCTTTTTCTCAAAACTACTCAAAACCGAGATAATATGTTTTGGCACTGAGATAACATCACAGGTATGTAAATTGATTTATTGAATATGTCGTTGATTTTTTGTTGTCATTGGTACACAGATGCGGAAGCTACACCGGCCACCTTTGAGACACCGGATGTTAACCCGAGGTTGCAGACACCCTCGAACCAGAGAAGAGAATTCCCAGTACGGGAGAGATTACCAAGGGGACAGAATGCAGACCAAGGAGAGGACAGGAAAGGTCTGTCTTTCGTCAACCTGTAAAGGTTACCTAAGTGTCATCCATGCCATTAGAAAAATTGAAGTTGGTATCAGGGTTCTTAGTCCACCCACAATAATGTGATAGGATCTGGGGAGACCCTTCACATGGTAAATTTTGTCAATTTTGTGTTCTATACGTATTTAATGAAGATCTCTTGTTGTTGTCAAAACTGCTCTATGCCCAAGTATAAGATGCCTATAACTAGACTTATGCTTTCACTATCAATTTTAAAGTTCCAACATTTTATTGAGTTTGCATGAAAATATACCTGATGGAAGATTACACATGTTTTCATATAAAAGTAAAGGAGTTTGTACAAAATGGTTTTTCGGGACACGAGGTTGACTATGCATAACAGTAGGCAGCCAACGATCACCTGACATCTGAGATCCGAATCATTCATTGGCTGTGGCTTTAAATTACACGTTGACGAATTGGGAACTGGCTGCATCCTCTCTACATAGACTCGCGCGTAACATCAGGCCGTAGCCAAGTTATTTAGACCCAGCCTAGTTTCCGATTAATACGTCCTCCTGCGTTAAGGAATTTCTACTTTAATAAACTGGTTCTCAATGCTACTACATTTTGGAAATGCATTATACGGGAGGAGTGGGACCAGTCCACACCAATACACATGCCTTACATAACGCAACGTCACGTATAGACTCGTGCTGCACTCAACTCTTGGTGTTCCTTGTCATTGTCAGTACATCATAAGAATCGTTGGTAAACTCAAACTCGATCCACAAACTGCGGTAAACCTCCTTTTTTA